GATGTTGCCGCTATGGCAGCACTGGGCACGGTGTCCCCTCAAGTGCTGGAGGTCTCCCTGCCGCCCTGGGAGGGGTGTGAGGAGGCGGCCGCTCTGAGGGGCAGCAGGGGGCGGGCGCTGCCCCGCTGGGCGCTTACATCTGCGTCTTCGTGCTTGTTGACGCCGTGGAAGTAGAAGGGCTTGCCGTTGATGAGGAACTGCCTGTTGGTGACGTGGACCGTGCGGATGCCGACCGGGAGCGTGTACACGTCCTCCAGCAGCTCCCCGTTCACCTGCACCTGCATTCTCACCTGGAGATCCAAGGGGGAGAGGCAGGCGATGTGCTGGGCTTCACAAGGATGCCTCATCCTCCCTCTCCTTTGTAAGGACTATCCTGACTGCCCGTCCATCTCCCAGCCCTGCCTCAGCATACAGCCTGCTCCTCATGCTGCTTCTGCTGATCCTTGTGGTCCTCCTCAGGGAAGGAGCAAGGTCTGACTAGACAGAAAACAAATCCAATCTGGGGAAGTGGAAGGATGAAGCCTGAATGGCCCTTCTGGGGCTTGTTCACCCCAAAAGCTTCATTTTTTTTTCTCCTTACTCATCCAGGCCATTTCATCCACCCAGGCAAGGCAGCAGTGTCCCTCTTCTGCCCCGCACTTTGGTACCAGGCAATGACTGAGAGATCTGATGAACCTGAGCCCCTGGAAACTCACAGCAGCTCATTTGCCTTAATTTCTGCATCTGAATGTCACTGCTATCCTTAACTAACATGGAGTCTTCCACACTCATTCTACTGAAGCTGAACCCTTGTCTCACAGAGTGGGCAGAAAGCTCATTGCATGGCAGAGCATGTGGAGGAGGTCAGCAGCCTGCTCCTCAGAGACTCTCAGCTTTCAGTGTCTCCTCCCCTATATTGTCTCAAACAGTCCTTTCTGAAGGAAGAAATGTCACTGTTACCTCCAAGAAGTAGCGGTATCCAGGGCTCTCGTGCATCAGGTAAGGCCACCAAAGGTTTGGGTTCAGGACTTTTAGTTCTCCAGCTGACCCATCACCTGTAGCAACCACTTTCCCCTCTTGGTCACGTAAATTCAGGGACAAGGAGTAGAGTGTGCTGCCAACAACCGACACCTGATACTGCACCAGTGCTGGTTTGAAGGAAACAAAAGACAATCAGAGACTGCCACAAAAGGAAAAACAGAAGCATCAAACATTGGAGAGTTTTCACCCAGCATTAAAAGATAAGGGAGATGTAAAAAAATCCCAGGGTGGCATGAACTGAATGTAAGAAGGGAGATGTAAAAAAAAAACAGGGTGGCATGAACTGAATGTAAGAAGCATGACCTGTCTGCCTCGAGGTCCAGAAGTTTCCAGCAAGATTTGTGTATCCCACAACTCTGTTACTTAGAGAGAATCCTGATTTAAGTGGCAGGAATACTGCCCCTACTGAGAAACTCTGAGAAACAGCTGATCATGCTTTCACTTTACCAGCAGTCTCTCAAAGTGCTTCTTTTTGTTCTGCTTCTGAACTCTTTACCATGTTCTTGCAGCTGCTGAGCTGTGCGATAGACCAGCTCAGATTCCAGAGAAAGCCCCTATGAAACAAATTCAACCAGACTTTTGCAGGATGCTTTCTCTGCTGCCCTTGTCATCTCCATTTGGAGCCTGAGGTAGCTGCTGTCATTGTTCTGGACCTACCAACGCTCTCTGATGAAGTGGTTGTCACAGTAATATCATCTATGTAGACAGCAGGAGTGGTGTAAAGCACAACCGGCCGATGGATTCCAGCATAATTAAAGAAATCAAACCTGATGTTCTGTACAAAATAGTTCTTGGGATACCTGAGTGAGCAACAGGAGAAACGGCTACGTTATGTTTTGTTAGGCAAGAACTGAAGGCAGCATGTGGATGCTAGCAATGTAAAATAGTCATGTACTAAGAGATGCTAGCAGGTAAAACAGTCTGTACCACAGGATGGATCTGTCTTTCAGCAGTGCTGCTGCTGCCCTGGGGGTACTACCAGTTATCAAACATCTAACACACTGAACAGCTTTGATCCATCAAGCTTCTCAAATCTGCCATTGATTCAGCTTGTCCAATCCCTTAATCTCAGTTCTCTGTGTATAAAGCAGATGCAATAACTCAGTGCAGACTTTTCATAACACCAAGGCTAAAACCCCTCCCTGCTCAACCCATGAATTTTGGCATAAATGCAATCCCATGCTTTTTGCAAGTTGCTTGGAGGGTCTTATGACCCAGCAGCTGAATAAATTCCCCTTCCCTCATCCCTGGGACCAGCTCAGCAGGGCAGCACTTTAGCAACACACCTTGTTTTGTCATTCATGTACTGAATGGACCCTGGGGGCAAAGTGTGGGGCGTCAGGGTGTTGTTGAGCGCGAGGGTGATGCGGCATGGGGTCCCTGGGCTGCCCTGCACGATGCTGCTTATGTCTGCTTCAAAAGGGAGGTGGCCCCCTTCGTGCTCCACAACTTGCACTCCGTTGACCCACTGCAAGAGAAGACACCCATGAACCCAGGAAATGGGGTTATTGGGGTTTTGTGGCAAGCATAGCAGGGAGAAGGGAAACCCAGTAACATCACACCTTGTTCTGGGCTATTACTCCTGGAGGGATCCATCTAGCAGCCCTTCCTTTGCTGGGAGCTAGGTCTGGGTCACATACAAGCAAGTGCCACTGGGAGACATGGGTTTGGGCAGATCCTACAGCAAGGAAACATTTTCATTACTAGTCCTGATACCGGAGGATCGGAGAAGAGAGACCTGGGAAACACAGCCAAGCTTGTGGCTTGAGGAAAAGAGCCAAGAGTTCAGAAAATAGCAAACGGATATTCAATCTAATCAGAGATGTGTCTGCTGAAGAAGTCAGAGGCCAGATTTCAGTGCATTGTGATTGTGGAAGCACAGGGACAGTTTCCCATGCAACGTACCACCATGGAGTAGTAGTGGGCGCTGCCGAAGCGGAGCACCACCCGGAGGTCACCCCGGAGCCAGCGGGCAGGGAGCAGCACCTCCTTCTCATACCAAACCCAGCCGATGTAGTTCTCCAGGCTGGGGTCTTGGGTGATGTCGTTGAAGCTGGCAGGCACGGGCATGTCAATCACGGGACCGGTCTGGAAGGAATGGCACAGAAAGGGAGGGAACAGAGAGTTTTACTGTCTTGGCTGTGCAACCTGTGCTGCTGGAGGTGTCCCCTCCACCGACAGCCTTACAGTGGAAATACTGGGGGAAACCTGTTTGGAAATTGTCTATCACAGATCCTGTACAAGTCCTACTTAGTAGCAGGCTGAGGAACTTGCCTGTTCCTACAGGAAGGAGCTGTTTGTATCTTTTTTCTCTCCTGGTTTTATTAATGGCTCTGGTGTTGTGGAATCAGAGAAGGGCTGAGGAGGAAATAAACGCCCAGGTCGTTCCAGCCTGGGACTTACCACAGGCAGTTTTTTCTCCTGCACAGCTCTAGCTGTTCAGTGAGCAGTGCTGCTGGGGTGGTGTCAGGGACCAGGCCGGGGTGCTGCTGGCCAGGCTAAAACCAGTAGCAGAAGGGTGGCAAAAGTCACAGACATTTTGGCCAGATCCCCTAGGAGGCTCTGTGGAGACTGTCTGGGATGAGTCCATCCTTCCTTTCTCCTTCAAAGCAACGCCACTTCCTTAGGACTAGAACAGAGTCAATCAACTTGCTTACTTTTAATACAAAGGCAGCAGTGTTGTAACACATTCAGCATCGAGGTAACTGGATGCTGTTGCACAAGAGTTGTTCATTTTTAGCACCTGCTGTGCTCGTGCTGTTGCACAAACAAGCTCTGGAGCAGCTTCCCCTTTCCTCTCTCCTTGAAAGCAACGCCACTTCCTTAGGACTAGAACAGAGTCAATCAACTTGCTTACTTTTAATACAAAGGCAGCAGTGTTGTAACACATTCAGCATCGAGGTAACTGGATGCTGTTGCACAAGAGTTGTTCATTTTTAGCACCTGCTGTGCTCGTGCTGTTGCACAAACAAGCTCTGGAGCAGCTTCCCCTTTCCTAAGGGAGCCTTTCCGTGGAGAGCAGAATGAGGAAGGTCTGGTCACCCAGCATGTGGGTGGCTGACTCAGCACTGAACTGCACTGGTGCTGTGGAGGAACTCAGCACCCTTACCAGGCATCAGAAAATCCTAGCAGGAAAACCCTTGCGTGGTGAGGTGGATTTTCTAGTATCAGGTACCTTTTTCTGGGATGGCCACAGTATGTGTCTCCTTCAGGGAGATTCTCTGATGGCTAAAGCAGGTTGAGTGTACATGTCTAAGCCTTCCTTTGGGAGGCACAATCCAACATTCCTCTCCTGGCTGCCTCTTTTCACAAAACTTCTAGGAGCATCGTGTCTTTCAGCTCCCTCTCCTTCCACAATTTGGAAAAAAAATGGCCAAAGGGCTAAAACAGAAACGATGAAGGACACGTGCATTTTATGCATCGACTACAGAACGTCTTTCTTTTAGGTGAAGGTGTTCCTTTCAGGCTGGGTTCCAGCTACACTCGAACACGCGTAGCTGCACTCGGCTCTTTGGAATCGCTGATTCCGCAGTGCCCGTTCCAGGCACGTCTCTGCCCTGTGCTGCCGGCGGTGGGGAATGAATGCACAAGGCCGGCCCGGCTCCTGCAGCGCGGGGAGAGCCAGGGGCGGCTGCAGCTCCCTCAGGGGCTCTCTGGCTCCCGAGCGGGGACGG